ATAGAACTTCAACATTAAAAAAAAGAAAAAAAAAAAAAGCTTTTGCCCTGATTTCATCAGTAATGTATGTTCAAGAAGCTAATTTTTCATATTAAAAACTTTATATGTTGTTGAGGGCTTTATCAGTAACAAATACAAGCACATTACTTCATTTTGTAATTTAGCAGCCTTTTTTTTCAGCTCTGTGTTTTTTCTGGTTCTAGACAAAAAAAATTACCCAAATGCTCTGTTCAGAGTATTTTTCCCCTCCTGAAGAAACAAGTGTTTACTTTGATTCACTATTTGTGATTGCTCTGGACTATAGTGAGCAAAGCCAAATAGCTAATAATGGGAGAGCTCATTGTTATCTGATCACTACCTGCAAGATACATTATGTAAATTATATTTTCCCTACTGCTGTTTCCCAAACAAATCACTTTCCTAAACAAGCTTACCTTGTTGATTGATTGCTATCAGATTTCTGGAAATCATTGAATATAGTCTCCTTAAACAGGAATAAAGAAAAATATGATACAAGTTAGCTACACATAACCATAAAAGACAGCTTACCATCTTTGTAGACGTGAAGAGTTAAAAAAGGGATATATGCACTTTGTTCTTCATTATTTCCCAACCAGATTCTCAGAAAAGAATCCCATTTTACCTGTGTTCTTTTACTGAAAAGCTTGTTACTCCAAATAAATCCCCCAGGAGATCATTTGCACAGTGTACAATATGCTGCTGTTTTTCATCATATAATTGCTTAGACATAATATATTGTCCAATATAGAATATTACCTGTGAAATAAATGAAATACAAATGTTAAATACCCAGGTTGTTGCTTCAAGTTTAAGTGTAAAAGACAAAGCATATTAAATACATTGTAATTTGCTCTTCAAACTCTGCCTAAAACTCTCTTTGAGCCAACAGATTTTCATCTATCATTCCAGAAGAACACTGCTATTCTACTCATCACCAGAAACTTTAGTTCATATTTTTGAGAAACTTGCTGAATACCCAGTTACAAGCCAGCAGGAGAATAAATACAGTGTCTTAACTAAATTTCTAGACAAGGTATGAACACTAGCCCCCCATTTACCCAACCCAAAACAATCTATCTGTACTCACTGTAGTCTACCTCTAGTGATTAAAAGTTCTTACCTCCTTCATAGTAAAAGTGTCCTTTTCAGCACCAGCTAACTTTAACAATTTCAGCAATAGTGGCTTTGGTTTAACCTGTGTGTGGAAGGAGAGAAACAGTATGCACTAATCAGAATTTATACAGAATACAGAATTTATTTATACAGGTTGTCTCCCTCCTTCTGTATTAATCTGATATGCAAACATACAACTGCATTAAAACCTATCTTCACTTAAGTTTTTCACTTTGCAAAGTTCAAACTTACAAGCAAATAATATGAACCAAATCGTACTAATCTTTTTATACACTGTACATCTTAGATCAAACCCCAGTTGTTCATTGTCCCCTGGTTTCAGCTGGGATAGTTAATTTTCTTCCTAGTAGCTAGTACAGTGCTGTGTTTTTGATTTAGCAGAATAATGTTGACAACACACTGATGTTTTTGTTGTTGCTAAGTAGCAACAACTAAACCAAGGACTTTTCAGTGTACCATGCTCTCCCAGTGAGGAGGTGCACAAGCCCTAAGGGAATATGGCCAGCACAGCTTACCTGAACTGGCCAAAGGGATATTCCACACCGCAGAATGTCACGCCTAATGTTATGAACATGGGAGTTGGCCAGGAGCTGCTGACTGATGCTTGGGGGACAGGCTGGGAACCCATCAGCAGGTGTTGAGCAATTACACTGTGCAACACTTTTCTTCCTTGGATTTAACTACTTTCCCTTTTCTTTACTATTACTCTTACACTTCAGTTACTAAACCCACATGTTCTGCCTTTTTTTCTGATTCCCCCATCCCACCGTGAAGGACCTGGGGGGCAGGAAACAAGGTGCTCAATGCTACTTAGCAGCTGGGATTAAACCTCAACACATTGGTAAATACAGATTCCTTAATTGGAGCTACAAGATTTGTTTATTAGTTCCAAGTCCAGGGTCGGGTCCTCGGGAGTTCAGCTTTACTCTTTTAACCATTACCATGATACCCAAAGGGGAGGGAGGATGGAAACGGGAAACTGTCAGGTCCAGACAAGTCATAAAGCGAAACACTTGTTCACCTCTTTCTTAGTTTCCTTCTGTGACAGTTTCTAGGGTTTTTGTTTTGCATTTGCCAGCTGGGCTGCTTTACCTCTGAAGACTTTTCTTCTCTGGGACAAGCACACACTGTCCCTTCCGTGATACTTCACTCACTCCTACCTCTGCAGTGGCCTCCCACCCACCGTGCCAGCAGTTTAATGTACAGGCAGTCTATGACAGTTTCCGAGGCAGAGGAAGGCAAGTTTAAGAAAAGTCACCTCCCCCATGCCTACAAACTGCATTGTCCCACACAGCTGTGCCAGCACCAGTGCAGCAGATGAGAACAAGCTGCAGGGGCTGACACAACAGCAAAGCCTGTGGAGCCACTGATGCTCCCAGCACAGTATACTCTCATGTCACCTCTTTAACAATAGTGTAACCATTCTAAAACCAGGCTAATATTTAGCTATCCTGATAAATTACCTAAAATTAAATATAAAAAATAAACACAGAAAGTAAAAAAAAAAAAAAAAAAAACCAAGCAACAAACCAAAACAGAGAAGTGTGAATAAAATATCATGAGACAAGGAATAAATGTTTGAGGGAAGGGTGGAGGAGGGGAACTACCCTACATTACATTCCAAAGATCTGCTAAAACCAGCCTTACATTTTAGTGAGTTAACAAGGTATTAGCTGCAAGAATTACACATAATGAAAAAAATAACTGAGCTTGTGGACAGCATTAACTGTCCATTCACCCGCTCCTAAGAAGTGAATTATTTAGAATATGCGGCATATATATTAGAGTTTCATAAAGGAAGCAAACAACTTATTCAAGTACTACTGACAGCTAAGTGTACCAAGGCAGTTTCAGAACTCTGAATCCACAACTAAGTCCACTTTTATTCCCAAACCCTCTCCTCCTGACTCCTCAAAGTATGAAGAACTACAGCCTTGAAGATCTGACAGCAGACTGCAGTATCACGATATGGTGACGTAAAAAAAAGGAAGACACAAATGAAAAAAAAATATCAAATTTTAACAGTCTGCTGTTCTCCAATTTCATTTTTGAAATTTTTCTACTGCAAAGTCCACATTAAGCTTTACTCTTCTACACAAGATAACCCAGTTCAACCATCATTGTACATATGTACTTTATTAACTCGCATTTCAGGTGTAAATCCTCAGGAAAACTACGGACGAAACAACAGAACTGTCACTGTATCATGGAAAGCCTGGAAATGCAAAGCCATAAATACAAATGAAGACTCGTGATTCTTACAACCGTCTTGCAAATTCCAATAGAGAAGGGAGTCGAAAATCTTCAGATTATTTCACCAACAGTATGTTTTGTACTTTTTTTTTTTGTACGGAGATTTTCCACAGCTCTTCAGTTATGATCTGTTAACAATTTCCACCCGAAATACTTACCACGATCAAATCGGATCATAGGATCCTTTTTATTAACAGAAAGCAAAAAACATCAAGCGTCTCCAGGAAACAGTCTAGATCTACATCATCACCCTGTACTCTTAATTATGATTAAGATTTGCTTACTACAGAACCAAAGAGAGAGCACCCTTCACTGGCTGGACTTCCTGGCATTTCTCCAACCATCGCTCGCTAAGCACAGCGGATCTTCTGAATGAGCCGCTAAAAACTCTGCAAAAAGCATGCAAAAAACCCAAGCGCCCCACAGAGCTACTGACCAGCGCCTCTTGCTCCGGAGCGGCGACAGAGGAGGCATCCGTAAGGGAGGACATCTTGGTATTGCACATTTGCCTGCAGTTAAGGGGAGAACATCCTCAGAACGCACTCAGCCACACAACCGGGGCGGGCGGCAGCCACCAGGCCGGCGGGGCCCACTCACCTCAGTGCCTCGTCCCGCCCTCACGCTGGACC